TGGCTACTATGCTATCTAGACGATATCCTCATCCTTGCCGAAAGCGAAAAGGAGTTGGAAAAGAAGCTTGAACGAGTCATTAAAAAGATGGTCAACAATGATCTCTATCTCAAGCTAGAGAAATGCGTGTTCAAAACTACACGCACGGACTTCCTAGGACTAGTCCTTCTCCCAGGACGACTTCAAATGGATCCAGCAAAAGTCAATGGGATCATCAAATGGGAAGCTCCGACGGGTGTAAAAGGAGTGCGAGCATTTCTTGGATTCGCCAACTTCTATCGAAAGTTCATACGAAACTACTCTGAGATCGCAAGACCCTTAATTGATCTTACCAAAACCAAGGGCGGGACGGTGTTCCATTGGACCAGCAAAGAACAAGCCGCTTTCGATTATCTCAAAAACGAGTTCGGCAAGGCACCAATACTGGTTATGCCAGACAAAGACAAGCCTTTTGTCATCGAAACCGATGCATCGGACTTCGCTACTGGAGCAGTCCTCATGCAAAAGGACGATAATGGTGACCTCCATGCCTGCGCATATTATTCCAAGTCGCTCTCCGATCCAGAACGAAATTATCAAATCTATGATAAGGAGCTGCTGGGAATCATCCGCGCACTCAAGGAATGGAGACACCATCTCGACGGAACAAAGGAGCCATTCCTCATATGCACAGATCACAAGAATCTGACATATTTCAGGCAACCGCAGGACCTGAACCCAAGACAGCGAAGGTGGCAACTCTTCTTATCTATGTTCAATTACAAGATTGTCCATACGCCAGGACGACAAATGGTGCAAGCGGAGGCGCTTTCACAATTATCCGAATTAGACAATCGATAGGATAACAAGTCATCTGCAATCCTGCTACCTGACGATCTCTTTATCGGTGCTATCGATACAGATATGGCGGAACAAATCCGACAAGCACTAACAAAAGACCCATCGGTACTTGCGTATAAGGACGGCCTAATGGAAGAACTCCCAGTTCCACGAGGAATGACAAAGGATGACATCAAGGATGCTGACCACGGTTTAATCACCATCCATGGACGCGTATATGTCCCAAACAATACAGCCTTGAAGAAGGAAATTGTTTGGCGATACCATGAGGCCACTCCCCATGGTCATCCAGGAATCTGGGTTATGCACCAACTTGTGCGTAACAACTTCTGGTGGCCAGGAATGTATTGCTTCATCCAAAGCTACATCAATGGATGCGCCACCTGTCAGCAATCCAAAGTTGTTCGAAACAAGGTCAAAGTTCCACTACAGCCCATAGGCCCTTCGCCCAATGCGCTACCTTTCAAGCAGGTTAGCGTGGATTTTATTACCGATCTACCGAATAGCGAAGGCTTCGATTCAATAATGGTCGTGGTAGACCATGGGCTTAGTAAGGGGGTAATTCTATGTCCCTGCAAGAAGACGATCACTGTCTCAGAAACCGCTGAGCTATTCAGACGACAAGTTTGGAAACGCTTCGGGTTACCCGACAAGATCATCTCTGACCGTGGAATGCAATTTGCATCCAAAGTATTCCAAGCACTGTGCACTGCGCTCAAGATCAAATCGGCTATGAGCACAGCCTATCATCCACAGACGGATGGTGAAATGGAGCGAATGAATCAAGAATTGGAAACATATCTTTGAATGTACTGTGCGGAGCAACTGCATTGATGGAATCAATTCCTATCCGAAGCAGAGTTCACGCACAATCTCCACACTCATTCAGTGACAAAGAAGTCACCATTCAAAATATGGTATGGCTACGAGCCCCGAGGAATGCCAGAACTGTTTCCTCAGGATGAGATCCCCGACGTGGATGCAAGACTTAAGCTTCTCAGCATGGTCTGTAAGGAGGCCACAGAAGGAATCATCAAGGCAAAAGCCCATGTATCCACCAGGATCAAAGGAGGATCTCCGACGTTCAAGAAAGGAGACAAGGTCTGGCTGAAAGCCACCAATTTGAAAAAACCTTACAAATCGAACAAGCTAGCGCTGAAGTGAGAAGGACCATTCAGGATCAAGGAGGTTCTGGGACCGCTCTCATTCAAGTTAGACCTTCCTGCGACATGGAAGATCCATCCGGTGTTTCATGCTGCACTGCTCACGCCGTATCGGCAGACCAGTACACATGGGGAAAGTTATTCAACACTGCCTCCGGATCTTATCGAAGGAGAGGAAGAATTTGAAATCGAGTCTATAATTGGACATCGACTACGGTGCAGCAAGAACGAATACTTGGTAAAATGGGCTGGATATCCACTCAGCGAAAGGTCGTGGGTAAAAGAGACAGAAATGAGCAATGCAGGAGAGCTGCTGAACGAGTATAAAAGGGAGCACAACTTGGCCTGAACCCTCAGTCCATGCCCCAATGCCCGTTCAACATCCCGAGTTTCTCGAATCTGCTATCACCACTTTTGCGCATCTTATCGAAGTTCTCGAAGACGTCGAATCCCACTCCTCCCACGATCATCGTTACCAGGTCTTCCAACAGCTCGGAGTCTATCTCGCTATCAGAGGGGCTGGATTCGCCATCGAGGATCTTGCTGACTTCGACCATACCAACGTCGAGTTCAACACGACCCATCCAAACCATGATGGACCATCTTATCCAGAGAGCGGACGACGTCCACGAAGTCCACCTCCTGGACGACTTCAGGTCAACTCGACGACAGCCATATCTAACCCCTCACCCCAGTGGGCTAATCAGAATTCCGTATCCGTTTCCATTCCAAACGGACAAGCCGAAGGTAACGTTAGAGGACGACGTCGATATCGACCTAGACGGAACATGGGGAACGTTCATGAGAATGAACTACCCAATGTACCTAACAGAGGAACTCCACCTGCCCCAGCTAGAGCCAGATCAACGCTGGACTATCCTAACAGCCGTCTACGCCGGCCTTCCAGTGGAAATGCTCCCACCATCGTACGCTCTAGATCATCCGCTACACTTTAATATCTTACCGGCAGCACTCTCATTCGCTCTGGATGCCTTCAGTGTCATACACGGTACCGTATCAAGAACAATGACAATACCAGTGGAAGAACGTACAGGAATGGCAAACATCCATATCACGGACTGGTACGAGGAAGAAGAACAGCTGCTCGAAGGTATAAGTAGCGGTCCTCCTTTTCCCCTACTAGACCATCGCCTCCTCCTACTCAAGTGGGAACTCTACGAGGAAATCTACCCTTGGGATAAAGAGAATCGCCCCGCTCTACCACCTCCACCAATGTCGCTTAACATCCGTGTCACCACCACCGTCACTCGCAGCGCATCGGAGCCAGGACTACTTCTCGACAGCAATGGAGATGAACTCCTGCTTCTAGGCAATCTTAGCGATGAAGCACTGGCTGAATCATGGAGGAGTGCACGTTGGGGAGATGATGAAGATGAGACAGGTCGTTGGATGACGGGAGGATCTTGGACAACGGGGAGAGCCTGGGGTAATGACAATGAACAGGCAAGGAGTGCCGACGATGAACAACCTGGCTACCCCCACCATCCTGGCGCTACCTACCCTTACAACACCACACCAGAGGACGGATCGCAACCTGCACCCGCTGACACCATCAAGGAGCAGATTAGGTACGCTCGAACAGTCAAGTCTTCGAGCAACCCAGCGGCAGGACAGGTATCGCTCATCGCCCCGGACGTAGCATCACCCTACGATGTCTTCATCGCTATGCCACTAACATTCCTCATGGAATGCGATGGCCATCGTCTCTACATCCATCGTACGGGTACGGGCGACTTCGCCACTTTCCATGCCTTCGTCTTCACTTGGGACAACCAGAAGGTCACCTGGCACCTCTACTCGGAAGACTCACCTCATCGCGTCTTCAGCCAATGGGTTGCTCTGCTCTATCCGCCACCCATCCCAGGCATGCACAACTGGTATCCAACACCCAACCGGATGCGCATCATCAGCGTTCGCTTCACGGGTAAGGAAGAAGGCGTCGAACAATACGAGGTCGAACTTTTCAGGACATTCTCCGATCAAGTCCACTACAGAGATGCCAAGACACCTCAGGAGTTCACGCTGGTCATCTTCCAACCCCTCGTTGCCATGATCGAGAAGCCTGGGTGGCTTACCGATGGGGTCGAGGCACTGAAGGCGGTCCTCCATGAAGACGGATCCATCTCGCACTGGACGCCCAATGAGTTCCATCCTCAGCCCCAAGAGGATCTCGACGAGGGCTGGGAGGTCGTACCTCACACCACCATCCCAGTCTATGGCTATGTGGGTGTCCGCGGAGGGCAATGATGGGTTAGTTTGGTGAGTGGTCGTCAAGGGTCTTGCCAGTTGAAAGGGGGAGCTTGTGTTACAGTTTCAGCGCTTCATGGTCACGTGACAGTTTACGTTGCACGTGACACTTACTATTTATGGTTCATAGGTCTTGTGGACATATCCTAGGGTTAGCAGTTTTCATT